GAGTTAGTCAAAGAAAGAGTTAGTGCGGGAAAGAGTTAGTCAAAGAAAGAGTTAGCAAAGAAACAGTTAGTCAGGGAAAGAGTTAGTCAAAGAAAGAGTTAGTGAGGGAAAGAGTTAGTCAAAGAAAGAGTTAGTGAGGGAAAGAGTCAGTCAAAGAAAGAGTTAGTGAGGGAAAGAGTTAGTCAAAGAAAGAGTTAGTCAGGATATATGAGGTAGTCAAAGAAAGAGTTAGCAAAGAAACAAGTTAGTCAAAGAAAGAGTTAGTGGGAAGAGTTAGTCACAGAAAGAGTTAGCAAAGAAATTGTTCCCTCACTGTAAATGGGATTGCAAGTGGTGGAGGAGTTGCCGATGGAGTTGTGGAGGAAGTCTCGCACGAAATGCGTTTTTGAGAGATAGCAGATGCACGAAACCCTATGTTTTTCCATACAAAGTTCGTCCCCGAACCTCGATGATCTACCTCTGCGGTGCGACGGGTGCGAGACGGTCTCGTGTGTGTTCGGATCATGGTCGGATATTCTCGGATCATGGTCGGATCGGTTCCGCATTGCAAATGGGGTTTCAACTGTTTTTCGTGCATGTGCGGTCGACAGAATTCCATTGTGATTTGCAACTGTAGGATCGTTCCCGCATTGTAAATGGGGATGCAAGTGGTGCTGGTGGATGAGTTGCCGATGGAAGCAGTGAGAAGTGAGAAGTTTGGAGTGTGAAGGAAGCAGTGAGAAGTGAGAAGTGTGAAGTGAGAAGTGTGAAGTGTGGACTGCGAAGTGTGGAGTGTGAAGTGCGAAGTGAGAAGTGTGAAGTTTGGAGTGTGAAGGAAGCAGTGAGAAGTGAGAAGTGTGAAGTGAGAAGTGTGAAGTGTGGTGTGAAGTGAAGTGTGAAGTGTGAAGTGTGGCTGTGAAGTGAGAAGTGTGGACTGTGAAGTGTGAAGTGTGCAGTGTGAAGTGTGAAGTGTGAGGTTTGGAGTGTGAAGGAAGCAGTGAGAAGTGAGAAGTGTGGAGTGTGAAGTGTGGAGTGTGAAGTTTGAAGTTTGGAGTGCGAAAGTGCAGTGCAGTGTGCAGTGTGAGGTGTGGAGTGTCGAGGGAAGGACACGGTCGGGACAGGGTGTCTTTGAACTATAGGTCATTTATGTTTGGGAAACTTCCGCCGCCGGCTTGCCCGGGTCTATGTTAGTTGAAAATGCTACAAAACCCTCACGCTTTGCTCACTTTTGACAAGGTGCACAATCCCTTGCGCCTGCCCACGAAGCGACATCTGAACCTCCAAAAGCGGTCCGAACCCCTGGTGTTTTTAACATTTTGACTTCGAAATGCGCGTCGCGCCACAACGGCGTGCACTTTTTCGACATCTGAACCTCCAAAAGCGGTCCGACAATGGTGTGCTTTGTACATTATGGCTTCGAAATGTGCTTCGCGCCACAACGGCGTGCATTGTTTCGACATCTCAACTGCCAAAAGTGGTCCGACGCTGGTGTGTTTTGTACATTTTGACTTGGAAATGTGCTTCGCGCCACAACGGCGTGCAATTTTTCATCTCTCATCTGGCCAGCTGGCTCCGCACCCGCCGCTTTAGCGAGCCTACTTTTCGACCCTCCGGAGCCCCAAATCATTGGAAAAACACAGTGTTTCGCGACTTTCCTACCTTTTCGCGCATCTGCATCTTCTTTCTTCTGACTCTTTCTCTTCTACTCTTCTCTCTTGTAATCTTTCTCTTCTCTCTGCCTCTGCCCTACTCTGCTTTTCATCTGTCCATATTGTCGGAAGTTTGACTTCTAAACTTCCTTCGATAATATAGCCTTATATAGCCAATATGGGATTAGACAGACTGACCATATATGTATATATATATATACATATTCCAAGTATCCCCTTGCCTATCTTCCACATCATAAATATTTATTCTTAGCACACACGAGGCATCAGATTTCCCAGGTCTTGGCGGCCTTGCATCGTGAGGGATGGGAGCTGGAACTGCCGGAGGTAGAGGCCACGAACACCCCATAAATGGCAGGTTTGACTGGGAGAATCACCTACAGATGGCTGGTTTTTCATTGTGATGCTTTTGACTACCAAATGGATCCAAATGGACCAAAGGGTAAGGAGGTTTACTGACAAGTTTGGTTTGTCTTCTAAAGCCGTTGAAGCTGCGAAGAATAACCAGCCAAAGGAGGTGATCCGGGTCTGGAATCTGAACGCCTACGACAACGCCCTGGCGCCAGTGGCATGCAAGGTGACGGGGGCAGGGACCGGACCCGCTTGGTCACCAGAAGGTTTGGACTGAAGAACGTCAAAAAAGATTCTTTATGATCATTATCTGGTAATTTTGGGACCATACAGAGTGATGTATATATATATATATATGTATATATATGTCTGTATATAGATGTTATTAAATGTTATAGTCAGTGTAAGAAGCGACAGGTCCGACAGGTTCACATTCCAGTACGACTGGTCCATGTGCATTCCCGTGATGCGGCAGATGGGCAGGTGTCCCATTCTTGCGCTCCGAATCTTTCCATCCGTCCGGAGCTTTGGCAACCTAGCACTGGAAACCTTTCTGCTTGAAAGATATGAAGTCCAATTTCATGCGTCGCCCTTGAGGTTCTCCACTCCGCATTTCTGTAATGTATTTTTTTCTTGAACTTTGAGTTGCAAAAAATTGTCTTTAGAGAATCATCCCATGAATAGACGATCGATTGTCATTACAAAAGTTATATCCCTAAATTAAATTCATTACATGTGTGTATGATTGCATATGTAACCTGTGCAGCCTGTGCATACATACCCAGCTACCTACCTACCTGCCTGCCTGCCTGCCTGCCGACCTACCTACGATTACCTACGATTACCTACGATTACCTTCGATTACCTACGATTACCTACGATTACCTACGATTACCTACGATTACCTACGATTACCTACGATTACCTACGATTACCTACGATTACCTACGATTACCTGCGATTCCCTACGCTTACCTGCGATTACCTACGGTTACCTACGATTACCTACGATTGCCTACCTACACCTACCTACCTACCTGCCTGCCTACCTACCTACCTAACCTACCTACCTACCTACCTATCTACCTACCTACCTACCTACCTACCTACCTGCGTGCACTCGCATGCACGCACGCAGGCACGCACGTACGTACAGATACATACAGATTCATACAGATACATACATACAGATACATACAGATACATACAGATACATACAGATTCATACAGATACACCCAGATACACACAGATTTTACAGATACATACAGATACATACAGATACATACAGATACATACAGATACATACAGATACATACAGATACATGCAGATACATACAGATACATACAGATACATACAGATACATACAGATACATACAGATACATACAGATACATACAGGTACATACAGGTACATACAGATACATACGTACGTACGTACAGAAATACAGAATTACAGAAATACAGAAACACAGAAATACAGAAATACAGACATACAGAAACATACATACAGATAGATAGAAAGATAAATACATAGAAAGATACATAGATAGAGACATACATACATACATACATGCATACATACGTACGTACATACATACACATACACACATGCATACATACATACATACATACCTACCTAAATACATAGATAGATAGATGGATAGATAGATAGATAGATAGATAAGAAATACATTACATACATACATACATACATACATACGTACGGACGTTCGTACGTACGTACATGCATACATACATACATACATACATACATGCATACATACATACATACATACACACATACACATATACATATACATATACATATACATACATAGACATACATATACATACATAGACATACATATACATACATATACATACAAATGCATACATATACATACATATACATACATATACATACATGTACATACATACACATGAATATACATATACATTTACATTTACATATACATTTACATACGCACATACATACATACACACATACATACAGACATACATGCATACATACATACATAGATACATACACACACATACATATATATATATATACATTGCATACAATACATACATTACATTGCATACATTACATACATTACATACATCACATACATCACATACATTACATACATTACATTACATACATTACATACATGACATACATCACTTACATTACATACATTACATACATTACATACATTACATTACATTACCTTACATTACATTGCATTACATTACATTACACTACATTACATTACATACATACATTCATTCATGTTTATATGTACAGATAGATGCAGTTTCACACAGATACATAAACAAAATACAGATAGATACATGCGAAGAATGCAGGTATTTACACAGCTACATAGGTACATAAATACACAGATACATACATACATAGGTAGATAGGTAGACAGATAGTTGGGTAGATAGATAGATACATAGATAGATAGATAGAACGATAGATCGATAGATCGATGCATACATGCATGGATGCACGATGCATACTCACTGACAAGTGTATATGCATATATGATCATATATGATTACGTGAGATACGATTATCTTTTGAAAAGGGGCACATGTTGTAACGTCCCAGGTGTTGATGCTGAAAGTGGCATCATTGAGGGCACGGCGTGCCGGAGCATTGCTGCAGGGGAGTCTCTAGGCGCGGAGACACTTTGGGCATGGCCAGTGCCAGGCTGAGAAGGATGGGAGGAACAGAAATTTACCATCAAACTGCACCATAACTTGCTACCAACAAGTCTGCTTGCTTTTTACTAAGTACATTTCTTTGATGTTGATCGATGCCGGAAAGGTTGAGTATGGGTCAAAATGGGGCATTGGCCATTTTCACAAATGAATGCAAACTATATTTAACCGATTAAAACATACACTTTGGAGCTCCAGTGACTTTGACATCAACAGCCATCACCTCGCTACGGCCAGCTTCGACTAGTAGCTGTTGGACATGCACATGAGTCAGCGTTGATTCTTGGACCTGTTTGTGGTCCCAATCTAAAGGCAAGCATTCCCATGGTTGTCCAAATTTTGTTCGGAATTCCCGATGGCTATCCATAGAATTTCGAAGGAATTGTTGTGAGTGACATTTTGCTCATTAAGTAGATCATTGATTTTCACTCAGTATTTCTGGGCCATCGGTTGCGTTTACTCATGTGCATCATTTGATTGTACGAGCAGTGGAGATTACATAGGATCTACCGCATATGTACGTGCGCACACAGACAGATTTATGTATATATATTTATACGTATATATAATCTATTTTACATATATACTGATATGCAGGACCAGATACATTTTGCATATCTAGAGGGAACCCCTTAGTGTCAGGCCTCCCATCCGTCGCCTATCGCGACGCCGCGCCATGGCGTCGTCCACGGAGTCGGAGGCGGCGAAGCGGCGACGCCTGGACCCGGTGATGCCGGCGCCGGATCTGATGATGGGAGGCGTCAGAAGCACCGCGACTCAGCGGAAGCCATGGCGATGACGGGAGATGATGGGAGATGTGGATGTGATAAGATGTGATGAGATGTGATGAGATGTGATAAGATGTGATGAACTGGGAAAAGTTTTAAAGCTTTTAGATCCATTGACGTTCTTGAAAATGGTATCATCTGAGATCCACTGATCCGGAGGGGTACAGTATCTTTCAAGTTGTTGAAAGCATGAGCAATGATTGATGTCTCCATGTGTTGCGCTTGAGGTCGCCATGATGCAATTCAACGAACAAAAGCAGGATTACATCAACAGCCTCTCCAACTTAGAGGAGAACACCGCCGAATACAAGCAGGTCTTGTCAGAATGTCACCTTCGTGGTGCGGAGCGTTGTGTCCAGGCATGTCTCGAAGAAACATTAATTTCCAACCAAAGATCTGAATAAATCGCCACTACCAGTTTTCGACAAACAACACTAGCCATTGATTGACATAGGAAAATCGCAATGTTTAATGGGTAAATCATGGAACTAAATGGGCCATCTACACCAGTTCGCACATTTTTAGATGACCAAACTTGACCAAACAGTTTATTTAATCTTTTAACATCTTTTAACTGCACACATACATGCATGCATGCATACATGCATACGTATGTACGTACGTAACGTACGTACGTACGTACGTATGTACGAACGACACACATACATACGTACGTACGTACACACACATACATACGTACGTACGTACGTACGTACATACAGACAGACAGACATACAGACATACAGACATACACACAGACAGGCAGGCATGCATGCATGCATTCATGCATTCATGCATTCATGCATTCATAGATTCATGCATTCATAGATTCATACATGCATAGATTCATAGATTCATAGATTCATGCATTCATGCATGCATACATGCATGCATACAGACAGACAGACACACAGACACACACATCCACACATATCCCAATAAGAGTTTCCCATGATCTCCCATTTTAAAACAATTTTTCATGGTTACCTGCTGGTAATCAGACGTAGCAATGAAACATCCGCCATAAATGGAGGTTCATAGCTGCAAAAATCATGGAACTGGTGGATTTTCCAGCAAGCCACTTTTGCAGAGGTTTAAATCCCATGAAAGTCCCATGAAATTCCATGAAAATCCCACTAAAAGTCTATTAACATCCCATTAAAATCCCGTTAAAGTCCCATTAAAACCATCATAATCCATTCCCCCCAGGTGGCCAACACGAACCGCGGCCTGTACGTCAAGGCCGCGCAGTTCATCGCCTCCATTCGCGGCGGCACCGGGGAACGTGGGGTGCCCAAGGCCTACACCGACGCCTTGGCGAAGTTCACGGATCACGCACCGCACAAATCCATCAACGACGTGGCGGAGACTGGGGATGGGATGGGGAACCATTAACCATTGATACCATTGATATACCATGGATAACATTGATAATAACCAATGATATATTGGTATATCAATGGTTAATGGTTAATCAAACATTTATGATTATCATTGATATACCGTGGATATTAACCGATACCCTCTGGTAAACTAACATAGCTATGGAAAGATCCACCATTTTTCATGGGAAAATCCACTATATATGGTCATTTTCAATAGCTATGTTAAATTACCAGAGGGTAACATTGATAATGATCATTATCCAGTATGGTTTGATAATCAATGATAATCATTAACCATTGATAATGGGTTGTCGGACTCTGGGGTAATATCCCGGAAGGAATAATTCAAAGTTGGGTATATTAATCCCGGGTTCAGATTCGGATACTGGGTTTCTGACTAATCTTCATTCAATAATGGTTATGAATAATCATCCATTAAGCATCATTGACCATCATGAACCTATCAGTACCATATTGGGTGACGACCAAAATGGGGGAGCCATCCATTGACCTATGGGATGATGGGATGATCCAGCAATTGGGGTGCCCCCATGACTATGGAACCCCTGAATAGCTGAGAGATCTTTGTCCTTTCAGACCTACTGTGGATGGAAGAACTCCTGCACCACCTTGGATGGTTGAAACCCTACAGATGATAATGGGATGTTTGATAGGTGGTGATTCGGATTCTTCCATCCACTGTATCAGACCTAGGAGGCTCTCAAGGAGTCCATGTCTCTCGGTGCCTGGCCTGCTGCGCCATTGGACGCCCGCTATGATTTGCAGAGCATCGAGGAGGAGCCCATCGCCTCGGCGTCGTTGGCGCAGGTGCATCGAGCGGTGCTGAAGGATGGCACCAAGGTGGCTGTGAAACCTGGCACCAAGGGATACCCAGGGATACCAAGGCTGGCAGCCAAAAAACGGTAGAGACTTGGAATGTGACCGGTGAATGAGCAAACATGTTAAGATAGAACTGATATAACAAATGAATATGGGGCATGTAACCAGCAAACAGGCTATGTTTGATAGTGTGCCCAAAACCAATGGCGATGGCAGAGGTAGTGAGTAGCAAACCCCAACTAATGGCTCGCTATTCTCATGCCAGCGCCAAGCGGATATGTGCCAAGCGCTCCAAGCCATGTCCTTTGAGTCCACTAGTGCAGAATGTTTCGTTTGATTTTGCCTAAGGAAGGTCCAATACCCAGAGCTTCGAAAGGAAATGTCCTCTGACTTTGCAGTTTTCAAAAGCATGGGTGCAGTGATCAAGCAGATGGCTGCCGGCTATGATCTCATGTGGGTGGTTGAGGACAGCCCTTGGTGGCCTACAGATCGCGCACAGAAAAATGACACCCCAATCAGAAAACCATTGTAACCAGAGGAGCTCAACAGATGGTAGTCAGAAATTGCAAATTCTTGAAATATCTCTTAATAACATTTAATAACCATATTTTATATTCACCAATCATCTATTCAAATTGTACACATCTCCCAATTTCTTCTCCAGGATTTCGAACAAAATTTGACCCGCGAGCTGGACTTCACATTGGAGGCCTGCAACGGCGAGGAAACGGCCAGGCAGTTGAAGCATCGAGCACCACATATCTATGTGCCAAAGGTCTTCAAGGAGCCCATCCCACTGGAACGGGGAAACAGAGGTTGTTACCAAGATGAACTGGTAATGGCTACGGCTACTAAATGATGAATGATAACAAAAAGAAGAGTGACAGTAACTATGCTTCTTATATTTATGTAATTTGATACTGATTATATATATATATACAGTATATAAATATTTATAATTTCAACATGTATAAACAGTTTTCTTTACTTCCTCAATGATTTGCATCACATCGCCATCGACCAGGAGCTTTCATCTTCCCGCGTCATCGTCATGGAGTACCTGGATGGCTTGCTGAAGGCGAGGCCTATTTTCTGACATGAAAAAACATGGGGACATGTCAGGAAATGATGGAGGAAACCGAAAAGGGAAAAGACATGATTTGGAAGTTTGGATCTTTCCAACTCCTTTTCCAAGCTATGACTTTCGAACATATATAAAATGGTTTCTGCCAATTATGTTGGATTCAGACATCATTCATCATTCATTCCAGGCCAATGATCCACAAGGCTTGCGAGATGCAGGGCTGGATGTGGCGGAATGTGCTCAGCTGATTTGTGACACCTTTGCTGAGATGATCTTCGTTCATGGCAGGGTACATGCGGATCCACACGCAGGGAATATTTACTTCAAGGCTCCCTGGTGGGGAGAGAGGTGCACCACCGGAATCAAGAGGCTCCATAGAAAATTTGCCCTCATAATTTTCCACCGTGAGGATGTACAATTTTGGGATATCCCACCCATTGTTGAGTTCCCACTGCGATCCAAGTGGATGGCCGTGGCAGGCAATTGAGATCAACGGAAAGCTGCATCCGCAACTGGTGCTTTTGGACCATGGCCTCTACTACGACCTTTGTGAAGGAGATCACAACGTGCGGTTGAACTTTTGCAGGTATTGGAAGGCAGCTGGGCTCAGCGTGTGACTCAAAGGGACCACATTTCAAGATATTTCAAGATGTTTTTTCTTCCGAATCGCCATGTCAACCATATTTCACACCCATCCCCAAGATTCCCCAGCAGTGGCTTCATTTGAACCGTTGCCTGTGCATTTTGATCGTTCCTACTTTTGATTGGGAGTGAATACACGGCAATCCCTGCACCCTACTGTTACGTACCCCCTTAACAGCACCAGTTGAGTATTGGATCTAAATTTCAATCATCGTACCCAATGATCAGATGTTCCGACCTGGGGTCACCTTGAAGAGGACGGTTGGTCGCGCCCAAGGCGTGTTGCGCCAAAGATTCCCAGCAGATGAAGGAGCTTGGGACGCGCTTTGCGGGAGCACTGCATCGCTTCCTGCCGCTGATCCTGTCCCCGTGGTTCGTCTTTGGCGGATCCGGGGTCTCATTGAAAGAGGTCATATCAGCTGCACAAGGGCACTTGCCGGACACCATTTCATTGAATCTGGCCATGGGATAATAATTTGAGATTTGGTCGTGGCGGCATTTTTTGCACTGATGGGAATCAGGCAAGGCAACAAACATCCACAAGAATCCACAAGAGGTATAAAAGGTTGTTATATAGCTCGATCCTCGGATGTCATTCGACCACATCGATGGCATCCCATCCCATGACCTCATGCCCAGGAAGGATGTGGCAGATTTTGTGGTAGCCACGCGCATGGGTGGTGCCAACTTGTTGGGTGTGCTACACTCCCTGGGCTACACCCGTGGCTTGTTGGAAGCCCTCCATTTTCCGGAACAGCGCCGCATCGAGAGCATGTTGCGCTTCGCCCTGCTGGGGGATCCACCGGATGGCGCCTCAGGGCACCTTCAGCAGCCGCTCGCGTTGCAGTTGACCACGGCACAGGAGGCCTGGGTCACCTGGCGAGTTCGGATGCTGGGAGGACACATCCGGCTGCTGTCCCCCGTGGCGCGCGCCTTGGTCCACTGGACCAGGGCGGAATTTGCACCACCCTTGTGGTGGTTGGCAGCAGTGCCAGTGCTACTGGGGGCGATGGGCACAGCCATGACGATGGCATGGCTGAGATGGCAAACTCAAAACTCTGAGTGAGGCTTGGGGGGCCAACAGGCCATTGCCCCATCTGAGTCCTAGTGGGATGATCACTTCCCGTACCTACAAGCAGAGCCAGCTGGCTTGTTGCTAGAGTGCCTGGAAATTCAGGCATTCCGCCTTGCATGCACAAAGACCAGCACCAAAATCCAAGATCATCAAAATCAGCATCACAAATCATGGCCCAAATAGCTTGGCAGAAGTGTATAGTCATATCACCCTAAAGGTGAAAACATGCCCAGAAACTTTGCTTTAATACTGCATCTATTCATATAGAGTCGGTATTTAGTATCAGGGGGAGTGGATTAGGCACTTTACGCTACATGGTCTTGCGGTTGAATTTGAACAATCTTTTTTCGGCTCAAGACCTGAAAGCTGCGAGGTGCAGTTTGTTTCGTGCCCTCCAAATGTCATGGAAAAGCTCAGCTGGCAGAGCCGGCGGGGCGACATGGTGGCAGTTTGACCCTGGCAGCTGTCCCTGACTTTGGCTGCCGAATGCCGCTGGCTGCGTTGCTCTGGCTGTTTATAACATTCCCTTCTTTCTTGCAACTACTAGCCGTTACTAGCCTACATGGACATTCCCAATTTGCCAAATGAAGAAAGACGTCTTCCAGAAAAATTTCAGGGGTCATTTTCCATTTTTTGTGGCTCGTGACACGACAAGCATAACTGTACTGACAGGTTTGCGTGGGTGAAGGCATAGATGCCTGATCGATATGCGCATATATATATAACATACATACATACATACATACATACATACATACATACATACATACATACATACATACATACATACATACATACATACATACATACATACATACATACATACATACATACATACATACATACATACATACATACATACATACATACATACATACATACATACATACATACATACATACATACATACATACATACATACATACATACATACATACATACATACATACATACATACATACATACATACATACATACATACATACATACATACATACATACATACATACATACATACATACATACATACATACATACATACATACATACATACATACATACATACATACATACATACATACATACATACATACATACATACATACATACATACATACATACATATATATATTTGTAATGTATACTATATTTTGCATTGGATACACATGCCAACCTTCCCTTCTATGGACTCGTATGGACAAAAGCAAAGCTGTGAAACCGGAAGGTTCCTTTCCAAGACTCCGTGGGAGACGCTGAAGGCAGCAACCAGTTCCATCTCCTCCTTGGGGCGGCGCAGTCGCTGGCGTGAAGCTGTCGAGTCTGTGGGCCAGCTGCAGCCAAACAACGTTCAGCCAGATGCAGTGCCCTGGCGGCTGAAAGATCATGAAGGATCGATCTTTTTAAGCAAAACATGCTGCTTTTTGAACGCTTTGGGTAGTTTTGATGGTTTTGATGCTCGGGGAAATTTATGGAGATGAGAGAGAGAGAGAGAGAGAGTGTGTGTGTGTGTGTGCCCGTATAAATATAATGTCATTCTAGTGCCAGTGCCAAGATGCTGCCCCTTCTCCCCGGCTCGAGGCCGTCTTCAATGCCGGCATCACCGCGCTGGGCCGCGTGGCTGCATCATGGCTGAAGGCCTTGCTGCTGGCACAGCAGCTCTTCGCCAGCGTGCGGCCCAGTCGCTACAGCTGCAACGCTGCAAGCAGCGCGGCCAGCAGCGGCTGCTGGCCGCTGGCGTTACAGCTGCAGCTGGTGGGAAGCTGCTGTGCTTTGGAGCGCGACGTCGTGGCATGGGGAACTGAGGTCAGGATCCAGGAGAGGGTGGGAAGATGGCAGAATGCAGTCGAATTGCTGGGAGAAGCTGAGAAGTTTGGGGTGAAGATGGAGATTATCACCTGCAATACAGTGCTGAGCAGCTGTCAAAGGGAAGCTGAATGGCAGAAGTGCTTTGACTTAGTGCGGCTGATGTGCACCTTGCCTCACAAATATGATATCAAGCAATGAGCACCCTGTCGCAACTACACAATTCACCTTTTGTATCCTGAAATATTTCCAAGACATAAACGGATAAGATTACTGATAAGATAGTCAAAACAGATCTTCAAATGCGGCAGAAGATTTCATTGTAGCCATGCCAGATCCCATATGTTGAGGCGCCACGCCAATGTCAGTGGACATCATTTCTTGGAGCACCAGCATCAACGCCTTGGGAGTGCCATTGCGCTGGAAGCTGGCGTTGTCGGTGACCAGCGGCCTTGGGCAAGGCCAGTCATCAAACAGGGGTTAAAATATCTTAAAATCATTGGGTAAGATTTAGACATCCAATGTTGATTTTAAGATATCCTTGGGCAAGGCCAGTCCTAAATGACCCTGTCTTAAGGGGCCAGTCATCATTGGGGAGGTCATTTAGATGTCATTTAGGAGAGGTCATCCCTGTATGCCACGGGGATTTTTGGGGATGCCATCCCTGCAGATGCGCCCAACTCCTTCACCTACTGTGCCCTGTTCAGTGCTTGCGAAAAGGCTGCTGCTGCTGCTTGGCGGATCGCCTTGGAAGGGCTGCAGCTGTTGCCCTGCAGGCGCCTGATGCCCGAGACGATTCTGGGCAATGCCGTGTTGAGCGCTTGTGGCAAGGCTGGCAAGTGGATCAGTGCCACATCGCTGCTGGCTGACTCTGGTGACTGTTCGTGGAAGAATGATGTGTCTGTCAATGCAGTTCTTGGTGGTTTTGGCAGCGAGGATTGTGTGGGTCTCTGGCGCAGCGGGGAAATTCTCTTTCAATCGATGCGGGCAGAAGGCCTGAAGTCCAATCTTATTTCATGCAATTCGTTGATGACGATCTTTGAGAAGAACGGGGAATGGAGACATGCACAAAACATGCTGGCCACAGGGCTCAGCTGCTTTGGTGTAACTGAAGATGCTGTGACTTTCAATGCCATGTTGAGTGCCTATGGAAAGGGGTACCAATGGAGATGCGCACAGTGGCAGCTGGCCTGTCTGGTGAAATCCCATCCCAAAATGGTATCTGTGGTGACTTTGAGTGCCTGCATCAGTGCTTATGGGGTTGCGGCAGCTTGGGAACGAGCTGTACACCTCTACAACAACTTGGTGGATTTTGGCACCCAACCAAATTCAGTGACCTGTGGGGCCGCATTGGGTGCATGCGAAAGGGGCCGCAGCTGGAGTCTGGCGCTGGGATTGGCTGAAACCTCGGCCAGCTTAGCTCTGGGTCCGGTGGAACTGAATGCAGCTCTCACTGCCTGCAGTTCCAGCCACGTGACGGACCGAGCTTTGAACTTTGCACGGCAAGCCGTCGCCAAGCACAGGCTGCAAGTGGATGTGGTGACGTGCAACACAATTTTGAGTCTGTGTAGCCATGAAGGCCTTTGGCTTCAATCCATCCAGTTGCTGCAGGGTGGCAGCATGGGCTTGGACTTCCGTAACCTTCAGCCCGACATATTGAGCTTTGGCGCAGCCTTGGCTTCATGTGCAGTGGCGGGAAGGCCATTTGAGGCCATGGATTTGCTCATGGATGCGGCGGCATCTCGCATCATCCTGGACACCGTAGCAGTGACCAATGCAGTCAGCGCCTGTCATAGGAGAAATCTTTGGCAGCAAGTTTTATACCTAGCATCTGGAACGGCTAGTGATGCAGCTCTGCTCCAAGTATCTTTGGACTCAGCTGACATTGCTGGCTGCCAAGTTGCCTGTGTGGAATTCTTGGATGCACTTGCGTCCGAAGGGACTGAAGCCATGGGGGTTCTGACTGAGGGCGAAAAGAGATGGAGGAAGGTTGCTCCTGGGATATCCCAAGATCTGGGTTGGAAGGCAGTTGTTCCCGTTGTTCCCCCTAAGTTTCGCCTCTGCAGACATGATCTCCGATGCAGGCAGTTGGTACTTGCAAGACACCGGTCTTTGGCCAGATGCTGAGTCCTGTGGTGAAGAGTGTCCCAACATTTGGGGCGCTGCAAATTCAGAATTCATTCTTCTCGTCGGAGCAGACCGTTGGACCAGTTTGGCTGGATTTTGGGGTCCCAGATCAGATCTTTGGAACTTTTCCATGATTTTTTCAGCATTCATAGGTGCTATGGCCTGACACCCGTCTCAATATGTCCATTTTCGACGCTCAAGATCCACGCGTTTGACATTTCTGCCTCTGTGGCTGCGGTAAAGTAGTTGACAGTCAATGCCCTTTGGTAAACGAACAGGGCTATGGAAAATGAAAATGGCCCATTTATAGAATATTTACCAGCAAAACACTGTGCTTTTCCATGATTTCCATAGCTATCACAGTTTACTGGAGGGTAGACCCAGTGTTTACTGCCAACATCTCGTGACAAGGGAGCTGATTGGAGGTGGATGGGTGCGGACGTGCGACGAACCTTCCTCCTTCAAGACCGGGGCTTCCAATGTCTTTGCGTCCGCTGTCGCAGTTCGAAGGCCTAGCAACAACTGTTTGGTCGGTTGGTTGGTTCAATGTTTGGGTTCTTTCAAGTATGTATATATATATAATTATATATACACATACATATATATACACATATATATATATACTCAACCGGAATGATTGATTATGATTATGATGGTGATGGTGATGGTGGTGATGCTGCTGCTGATGATGACGATCAATATCAATTGTCAGCACTTGCTTCATCTTCATGTCCTCGGGCATGTGAGCTCAAGATCTAAGAAGCACTTACGTGCTAAGTCTAGTCCGGACCTTGGTACACGAAGTTTCACCAAGGCCCCACCTAAAGAGCATCATGTTTCATGAAGTCCCTCTATAGTCTACCCCAGCCGCAATGGCAGATGACTTCCTTTCGAGACTTTATTTGAGCCTCACCTGGGTCAAGGTGACGTCAGGTGGGGTCTCTGAGATCCTTGGCCTCGTGGTTAGGAGGAGCTCAGATATGGGACTCCACACTGAAGTGCTCCAGTCCAGAGAGGATCCTACAACCTGGATTCTCTGTGACTATCACCGGGATGTACCTCATGAAGGGTGGCTTGGATATGATGATATGCTTGGATAGGAATGATATGGAATGATATGGAATGATGGGCTTTGAGCATAGAATTTTTGTTGAACTCTTGGCATCCCCAACCTGCGTGGCTTAAGAACTTTAACATACTTTAACAACCATCAGTGCATCAGCAACAAGGAAAACATGGGCAGTTTGGATCTGAGGCCGCTTGATCTTCCGATGACTTTGAAGCCCCTGAAGTCCGAAATCTTCCAGCGAGCGTTTCCTTCGCCCACGGCGACGGCCTCTGCCAGTGGACACTGGCTCAGTGGAGACGACTTCGTTGGACCCATGGAGGACGCCGGAAACAAACATGGAGTCCTGCAGACATTTCGTTTTACAACATAATTATATCTGGTTGGTGGTTTGGAACATGGATTTTATTTTCCCATATGCTGGGAATAATCATTTACAACTGACGAACTCATATTTTTCAGAGGGGTTGAAACCACCAACCAGATATATATATAATACATATATTATATATCATATCTGTAACATTCACAGGGACTTAATTGCTATAAGTCGACGAGTGGCCAAGGCATGGGTACAACATACACACAAGGGATACTTTTTTCGCGGGGAAAATTGTAGAGTGAGGACCAGAAGCCTGTTTGAGCAAAGGGTATCCCCAAAATCCAGTGACTGCAGTGTTAATCATATTTTTTTTCCTACAAAAATTGCCATTTGGAGGTATGTCCAATTTTCAGACACATCCATATCAAGTTGGTTGCATAGCCCGTTATATTATATTATTCTATCTCCATTATTATCCCACTACCCCATATTGCATCAAGGAGCTCCATTATCCCAGTACATCATATTGCATCCCCATGATATATTACTAAATTATACTAATTAACCTAAACTATACTATGATATGTATATATATATATGCATCCTCCAGCATTTTGGAGGATGCCTTGTACTACGCTGTGTTCTTCGACATTTTGCCGCAGCACGTGGTGGCCTTCGCACAAGGCTTGACTGAGGAAGCCGCGGCCGTTGAACACCTGGAGTTGAAGACGGCGCGGTTCCACCTGTGGCAGAACACGACGGATGCATCACGCTGGGTGGTGCTAGAAGCCTTCCGTGAAGCAGCAGGATGTTCGGACTTGAGACGTTTTTTTGTTTGGGGGAAGTAGCTTACTGCAGGATATGATTGATAAGGTCATGCGGGGTATCAGATTTTCGGTTTCTATTTGAATGATCCATTCAATGTGCACGATGCTATGTTGAAATGCTGGGTGAGTTTCGCATGTTTGACACTATTGCGCCACGCTGCCAGTCCCTGCAGGGCGAGAGGAACATGCATCTATGCCGCACTACTTGAAGATACGGGCTCAGCTGGAGGAGTGGCAGAGGAGTCCCAGAAGCCACGACACTGGCTATTCGTTGATCTTATCTTGATATAGTCGCCCTGTCCATCTGGTCAGCCCTGATGTTCCAACAGATGTAACGATGTGCGGTGTGAAGATCCGCTTGGCCACGCCCTGAAGACGTCGGAGCTCTGTGAGGTCGCTAGTCATGAGATGCCTACCATGGCTCTTGCCTGCGATGAGGAAAAAGACTCCACTTTACCCCTCTTTCTCTCTCTCATATGTACACATATTGAAGAAAGTTTATAAATAAATTCATTAAATTACAAAGTGAATCAATTCCTACATATATACATAATCAGATCGGGAGAGAGAGAGAGAGAGATATAAATATATATAAAGAACTATATATATATATATATATATGTATATTATACACACAAATGTAATGACATCCCTTCTCAGACTCTGGATGGAAGGCATTTTTTCAGTCCCACTGGCGCGAAGTGAAGATGCTAAGGTCCTGACCAGTGTCGAGCGTTGCTGCCACCTCGGACAGCTTTGGGTTGCTCTGATAGCGGCTGGAAAGCGGCCCGTTTGTAGATGAAGTACTTAAAAGAAATGGCAGACATGTTTTTCTTATTTTTTTTGGAGATCTATCTTACTTACATTACCGGACGTGTTTGCAAACACCTATTTTTTGAGGAACTGGCTGGAGACTTGACGAGACTTACGGTTGCACAGGAGGTCGAAATATGATCGTCTTTTGAAGCCAGTGGTCAGTAGGTAAAACTGATATCTGCAAAGGCCCTGTGATGCTTGCGGTGCCCTGGGTTCGGTCACAGCTTCAGATTACCAGTGAGTGCACATGCAATCCACCGGTGTATGCTGTTCATTATGCCATTGTGACAAGTAAATCGAGTCACCATAACGATAATGATCGATGATAACAGATACCCCCCCAAACACAGACGCTAAGAATCAGTCTATTTGGAAAGTCGTTTTCCAACATTTTCATGTCAGTTGGAGGGATGGCAATGGTATCCAGGTGCTGCCCTCTGGCCACAAGATAGAAGCGCGGCCGGAGGGCCTTACCTGGAGCTGCCAGAAGTGCGGTTGGGATGCCAAGCCCACAACCAATATGGGTGATGATTAAGAATTATATAATATATATATATAATATATATAATATATATAATAATATATATATATAATATATATATAATATAATATATAATATAAATATATATACAAATATATAAAACATACCCCCAGAAAAAAAAATTGGGGTAAGCATGACAAGTATACTGAGGGATATTGAAAAATATATGACAAGTATACCCCTACTATACCCCATCGGTGCTGAGGTCGGGAAGCCTCCTGGGATGCCTTGCACAGCGCCGCTGAGGTGCAGTTGACGTGGAGGACTCAGGGGAGATACTGGTCTTTTGGAGTGACTGGTGCAGTAGAACCATGTAAAACCCAACAAAAATGTTGGTTAAAGCCATGTAAAACTAAAGAAAGAAACATGTTGGGAACTTTTTAAACCCCTCATTTTGTTTCCTGACCGCCTGCCCCAATTTTCGCTACTTAGACCATGTGTGCATGTGTGCCATAGTCAAAAGTTGTATGACAAACTTGGAAAATGTGGGGGAATGGTCATCGGTATTCTGATGGAAGTTAATATGCCCATGAGAAGGATTCCTATGGCATACTTTGATAATGTTTTTTTTCTTTGTTTTTTCGTTTGCTTGGTTTTCGTTCTTTTTGGTTGTTTTTCGTTTTTTTTTCCTTTGCTTTTTCGTTCTGTGTCTCTGTGCGGGTTTTCCCTAGATTTTGGCATTTTTGGCTTTTCGGGTTGCAAAGTATAGCAAACTGCTATTGTTTTAAATATCGCTTTTTGGGCTGCTTTGTTTCTTCTGTTGTTTGTCCTTTTTTGGGCTTGTTAGGCTTGACGCTTTTCACCGTTTTGGGCTGCTCGCTTGCGGTACGGTTTGCCGATGTAGCAAAAACAATAGCATTTTACTTATAACCAAAAACGTGCAAACCGCCCTTTGGCCCGAAATTGCGCCAACCCACCGGGACCAAAACCTCACGATCCCGCATCGTGACGCCTCACGCGTGGGATCGTGAGGTTTTGGTGCAGGTGGTGTTTGGCATTTCTTGGTTTTACGCCCTTTGCGCTTCTTGGCCAGTAGAGCGACCGCCTAATGCTTTGCTTATGGCGCCGTTTTTCTTCAAAACCGCTTTTGCTAAATTCTTGCTTGTTTTTGGCGGCTGTGTTTCGTGCCTCCATTTTGGGCAAGGCTCCGGGCCTCTATTTTGGTAATTTTGGGGCCGCATGGCTCTGGGCCTCAATTTTGGCCATTTTGGGCCTGAATCTGGGCAAGGCTCTGGGCCTCTATTTTGATCATTTTGGGGCTGAATATGGGCAGGGCTCCGGGCCTCTATTTTGCCGATTTTGGGGTTGAAAGTGGGGAATGCTTTGGGCCTCTATTTTGGCAATTTTGGGGTTGAATCTGGGCAGGGCATGGACGACCGTACCCCATATATCATCAGGCTAATTTGATATATCCCATCAAAGATATATCCCACATAATGTCCCCTGTGAAATGGTTGGCCACATCACATGATACGTTAGAGGATTCCCACATGGCATGTTTTGACCAAATGGCAACGATGGCTAGATGTCCCCAGAACTTCCCCTTCGGCCCTTCGGGCCTTCTCCAAGGCAGCGAGTGCTCCTCGAGCTGAAACCGGCCCGAGGAGTTCCAAAGGCAACGGCTGAGGACTGGAAAGAGCTGGTGGAACGATGTTGAAAGCGGTCTGAGGTGATGGATGCTGGTTGATTATGATTGCAACATACATACATACATACGTACGTACGTACGTACGTACGTACATACGTACATACGCACATACGCACATACGCACATACGCACATACGCACATACGCACATACGCACATACGCACATACGCACATACGCACATACGCACATACGTACATACGTACATAACATACAAATACATAAAAAAAAAAAAGTACATACATACATACATACATACATACATACATACATACATACATACATACATACATACATACATACATACATACATACATACATACAACATACATACAACATACATACATACATACATACATACATACATACATACATACATACATACATACATACATACATACATACATACATACATACATACATACATACATACATACATACATGACATACATACATACATACATACATACATACATACATACATACATACATACATACATACATACATACATACATACATACATACACACATACAGACAGACAGACAGACAGACATACATACATTTGTTTCTTTGCTTGGAACTTGTGGAGAGCAAGTAATGTGTTGACGATATAGTTGCCAAAATGGCAATGCCATTTTGGCTCAAGCTGTTCCCCCTGCGATCCAATACTTTCGAAAAACACGCTCCGATCCTTTTGTTTTGTCCATGGCGGCTTCTAGTCCAGTGGCTAGCGAGACTGGCACCGTGGGCTCCTTCTCGTTGATTGGGACGGAGTTGGACGCAGGGGATGATTACATGGTTCTTTCCACCCAGGTGACCGAGGCTGCGCCGGCCGAGGTTACGACAGAGATTGAAGATGATCCCGCCATCACCAGGGAGACTCTGGCTTCGCAGCTCCATGAGATGGAGAAAGTGATGGCAAACTTGGGTTTGGAACCCAAGCTGGAGACAAGTGTGGAATCGTCAAGTGGGCCACCCCCGTCGGGGTTCGTTCATGCAGAGGCAAAGATTCAGACCCAGACATCACGGGCCTTAGAGAAGGAGACGTTGACACTCCACATGGATCCGACCACAGAGACCTTCACCATCGAAGGCTGGGCACCTTTGATTCCGGCCCTGCCTCACTCGGCTGCCAAGTATTTCAGAGACATTACGCATGGTGAGCTGCGTTCCCTTTTGGATGCTTTCCGCAGTTCTCCATGGACGGCATCCTTGGTGGTCAAGATCGCAGAGGTTTACCACATTTCGAAGCGCGAGGCTGTCCACACACAGATGTTGAAACTCCGGCACACCACTCAGCGTGGGGGATCCATGGTGAATTTGAAAGAGAAGGGCCCTGGAACTTCTCCGCAATTAGTCTGTTCTGATTGCAATGCACCGTGGGGTCAGTTATCCAAATGTTTGCTTTGTCAAGGCTCTCAGCCTGTTGACCTGTCAATGACACCTTTGTCAGTGATTGAGGTGGCCGGCCAGTCCTGGCAACTTAGGCTCACTGAGGCGGGACCGACTTGGGTCCCCACAGATACTAAGGTTACTAAGGCCTCAGGCTTTGTGGAAGTGGGAGATCTTGGCCGACCTCCCCCTGCGGCAGCTTCGGGCGCCGATACGGGGCTGGTTAGCTTTTCGGAGCAAGTTCCTGCCTCCCAGCGCATGACACTGCAGCAGCACGTGGTGGCTTTTGGGCAGGACGATATCTTTCATCCAGATGGCGAACGCCCCCCCACTATGGATGATCGAGACTCTACTCAAACTGCTGTGATCTTCCACCCCAAGACCATTGAACTGATGCGTTTCAAGGTGGACTTGCTGGCCACCCCAGAAGAAGAGCTTACGGAAGCGGCACAGGAGGCCAAGCGGAGGAAGAAGGAAATTCAACACCAGCAAGAGACTGTGGCGATGGATGATGAGCTGCATACACTGACGGCCATCCAGCAGGGTGCACAGGAAACCCAGAATCCGGTCAGTGCCAAGATGCTCCGCCACGCTGACCTACAGCAGTTCAGGTCCTACCTCAAAAGAAAACATGAAGAAAGTGGCCTCACCTCCTCCTACGAGGCTTTGGTGGCGGCCCAAACCACACAGGAGAGAGCGGCAGCCGCCAACAAGGCACTGGACACAGAGTTCAGGGATCGACGCAAGGCCCTCAAGCCCATTGAAGTGGCGTCCTTTTCACTGTGGACACCGGCCCTGCAAGAAGCATGGCAGAACAACCTCTTCGCGCCGGCCATGGGCCCTCAGGGCCCGGAACAATTTGACATGGAGGCACTGAAGCAACCCTACC